GGAGGAGGAAAGAGAAAACACCTGCTAGGGGTAATTGCAGAAGGGCTAGAAGGCACCTATAGCTGACAACCCTTGACTGGAAAGTGCTTTGATACCAGTGAGACAGGCCCAGATATTTTTGCTCTTGGCTCCAGGTTGATTAGATCCCTTGCTCTGCTATGTACACTTGGAGGCTGTGTCTATACATGTGGATGTTTGGTTCCCTGGGAGAAACCAAGCTGTCCGTGGGGAATGTCTGTGCCACAGGCACTCTGGCATGCAGAATGTTGCCCTGAGTGGGGCAGGGGAGGCTAGGGCCAGCAGTAGGCTTCCCCAGCAGTCTTACCTGGAGTCCTGGGGGTCTCCCAGGGCTGCAGCAGTGGCAATTCTGCTGTGTGGAGCCCAGCTCTAGTTTTGAGCAGTGCATACTGCCACTGTGTGCACCACTCCACTTATTTTTTTTATGCGTGGGTTTTTTTGACCCGTGGATATCCCCCATGCTGCTCCCTTGTGGCATGGAGAACAAGTGAATGTGCAGTATGTGGCGCTGCAGATATGTCTGCAGCACCATATACTGCACAGCCACGCTTGTCTGGACGTAGCCATAGTGGGGGAGGAAGGGTGCTAAGGGGCTGGATGTTCAACAGAAGAGTGCTGACATTTTCCTTGTTTAAATGCCCCATCCAGGTTTTCCCCAACTGACACTTTCCACAAGACTTAGTGTAAACCCCTGTAGTTATGCTGGACAGCTGCCTGAACTCTGATTACTTCACTAACCTCATTGTCCTGCTGTCTCTAGAAACATGGAGCCTGGCATCACCTGGGCAGTTTCTGGGTCCAGAGAGTTAGTAGTAGAAAAGGAGGTGGTCGGTGTCCTCTGCCAGCTCATGCTACCTCCCTGTTCTAAGGAAGTGTCTAGCGAGAGGGCCTGTCTCTTTTGCTGAGATGGAGCCTCTGTACTCAAGTGGCTGTTTGCTCACTCTTGACATTAGGGAGCAATTCTCAGGATGCATCTGAGATTTCCCCGCTCGGCTTCCTCCCTCTTACTTGGCATTTAGACCCCCTCAAATCATGCCAGGCAGTTCTGTGCTCTCGCCACCCTCCTCTTGCAGAATGGCCCGGCATTGCTCAAACCACTGTGCCTCTCTTCCAGGGGGTCGAAGATGCCTTCTATACCTTAGTGCGGGAGATCCGGCAGCACAAGCTGCGCAAGTTAAATCCTCCGGATGAAAGTGGCCCGGGCTGCATGAACTGTAAATGTGTGATCTCATGACCAAGGTGAGTTGCATGGTAGGGAGAGGTGTATGCCTGATGGCAGAGGATAGGAGGTAGGGATAGGCATGTTAGATGTTATTGTGGGAAAGAGTGCTGCCAGACTGAGCAGGCACAGGATATATTGTAAACCAGGCAAAATTATATATGCATTAGTACTGGTAGATTCAATAGAAAGTAACAGAAAGTAACCTTCGATTTGCACATGCAGATATTCAACACATCTATGCTGGGAAGGGACGTGCTGATACTTTCCTAGGATGGTTGAGAGAGGCATGATCCCATCCTGAGAAGGGGGTTGGACTAGATGACCACCTGAAGTCCTTTTTGTTACGTTTGTCCAAGACTTTCACAAATACATGGCTCCAGCCACAACTGTGGGAAAGAGTGCTACCAGGCTGGCAGGCACAGAATATGTTGTTAACATAAAGTAAAAATGTGCATGCACGTTAGCAGATTCAACAGAAAATAACTTAAAAATCACTCATGCAGATTCAACACATGCACATATCTCACACCTTCCAGTCCTACATTTCTTGATTTTATGACTGTGTACCAGGCTGCAAACACAGCTGGATGAAATAATTTCATCAAAACATTTTTTCATGGAAAAAACAACAACCCTCCCAGCTTCCTTCTCCTTCCCCTGCCCCACTACAACTTTTTATCGAAAACAAAGATTTTCTTGTGAACCTTTTGCTTACGCCCCAACATTTTCTGTTGTTTATGAAAAATCAGCTCAGTGAGTGGGGTTCTTAATGTTGGGTTTTTGGTAAAGCTTGTTTAGCCTTTGGTTTAATCAGTAATTTTTTTATGGATTCCTTCCCCTGTTTTTCTGTTATGAAATAATTATAATAATTAAAAAACCCATTTTCAGGAAATTGTGGGGAAAAATAATTCTTTCCCAAAAATGCCAAAGGAAGAGACTTGGTCTTTTTTCAGCCATCTCCTTATGCTGATGAAGTTCCCTCTCAGTTTTGTCAGCCTTCTCTCCAGCCCCTTCCCCCAGTGTCAGAGAGGGGAAGGAAGTCCAGCACTCTGCCATAGTGCACAGCTCACTTTACCCTCATTTAGGGGTGTCCTCAGGGCAGCTGGGGTGAGCAGGACTGGGACTGTCCCTTTCCAGTGCATCAGTGCATTATGCTGAAATGTGTTAGCAGATTGGTCTGACTCGTTGCTCCTCAGAAGGGTGTTCTCCTTAGCTGCTAGGATGCTTGATTAACTGTCCAAAATTGGCACAGAGGAATCACTTGGCCTCTATTCAGTATCCTGATGAGGGTTAAAGATGCCATCTTTCAGACTCTGGCCAGCTTTGTGTCTTTATCTTAGGTGAAGGGAGGTAGCTGAATAATTAGTTGGGGCTTTGTTACCCGTTACACTTAGCACTTGTTATATTTAGATCACAGTAAGCATTAGTGTGACTTAGAAACTTTTCTGAGCAATTGCATGTTAATGCTTACTATGATCTAAATATAGATTGTAGTACCACACTGGAGACTTGAACAGGCTCTAATACAGTCCCAGGGCTGAGACCCCCAAATCAGCTGATTTTTCAGGTCCAGCTGTGGGATTGCACTGAACTGGCTCCTGTGTGATCTCAACCCTGGGACCATATAGGAGCCAGTTCAAGACACCAGTGTGATCCCAAGGTTGAGATCTGAAAATCAGCTGATTTTTCACTCTCAGCCCAGGAACCCAACAGATCTAGTTCAAGACTCCCTTGTGGTCCTGGGACTGGGACCCACAATCATCAGATTACAGGTCCTAGCCCCAGAACTGGAATTGCTCCAAACTGCTCTGGAGCAGTCCCATGTGAAGGCACCACATGTTAGTTAATGCAACTGGGAGATATTTCTCTCTCAAAAAGGTGTAACTTTACTATGATGTGAGAGTGCTTAGCTTGTGTTTATCCTGTTTGGATGCTAGTGTTCAAGCATGGTAAACACGTGCTATGTGTAATGTATAGCAACCCCCTTAGCCTCCCTGCTGCCTTGTGCAATCTGATGTTGGGCGGTAGTGAGGGGAGGCTGGTTATCAGCTGCTTGTACCATGAGCCTGGTGGGACTGAGACCTCTCTTGGGGTCATATCAGCAGAAGTCAGGAACTGGGCCAAGGAGACTGAGCTGGACTCCTTGGAGTGGAAGGGGACATGCTGGACTTGCACTGCTCTCGCCTTGGATATGCCTCTTCTCTAGATAATAGAGGACTCCAGGCACCATTGTGGTCTCTGTACCTCCCTTCACAAGTGCTCACTTCCCAAGGGAAAACCTTAATTGTCCACTCACAGGCACATTGCTGCCAGGGGTTGATTGAGCATGTGGATGCTCAAACATGGTAGGTGTTTTTCCTCTAGTGCATCTTGAAGCAAAGCATTTGGCAAGGCCCTGCATTCAGCAGAGCTCATTCCAAAAACCCCTGGCTGCATTTGCTTTCTATAAACAAAAACAAGTGAGCGCCCCACCCCTGGGTTCCTGGCTGAGGAGAGAGTGGATCCCGGGTGAGCCAGACGGGATCTCCCACTGGGGCTGATCCTTAAGCTGTGCCTAGTGCAGCTATTGTTGTTACGGGAGGTTTCCAGATGTTCAGATAATCCAGATGTCCAGGAGCGTTTCCTCCGGATGGGGATGTGAGTCATGGGGCTCATTTCCTGCTCTGACTGTGATCACTTTCAGCTGAAAGCACACAGATAAATCCAGACCTCTCCTTAAGCTGCTGTTATCCTATGCCTGCACTGACAGTGCTTGGCTGCCAAAGCGAGAGAGTGGGGCTGGTGTCCATCAGTCACATTGACACTGCTTCCAAAAGCAGAGGGAAGAGAGAGAGTTTTTTTGAGCATCTCGTGAATTTTACACTCACCATTTGCAGTGAAGAGCCTTTCCCAGCTCCCTGCGCTGACAGCAAGAATGTACATGCCTGATGGACCGCAGGACCCACTCAGCCCTGTTGGGTGTGTGCCTGGCTGGCTGGCTCTCTACACAGGAAAGCAGGGCCTGTTTTCCCCTGGTTTAAATCTGCAATGCAAATGCAATCCAGCTTTGCTACAGGAGCATATTTTTCTGATGAAAGATTCCCAAATGCTTCAGGAAATTGCATGGTGACAGCAGAGCTGCCCAATGCAGGAAAGGTGACCGGCCCAAGATGCTGGAGGGTCAGTGGCAGAGGCAGGAATTTAGGTGTCTTGGCTCCCAGATGCAGCATCTGGCTATGGTCAAGGGCAAAGAGGGAGAAATATCAGGAAATGAAGGGTGGTGGGGAGAAAATCTGGATGCTCCTGGCATAGGTCTGGGAGTTGAGAGACCTGGGTTCTGCTCCTGGCCCTGCTGTTGGTTCACTGCACAGTCCCAAGACAAAGTGATATGACTAGACTAGATGACCTTTGGAAGTCCCCACCAGCCCTGCTTTTCCATGATTCTTTATTACCTACCTACCTTTGTCCAGTGCTTGGAGATGGTCCTGTGCTATGGTCAAAACAGGAGCTGATGAGAGAGATTGGTATGAAACACCCCTTATCCACAGAGGCAACTAAGAGAGTAAAGTACCCAGATCCCAGTCTGAGGCCATTATGCAGAAGGTACTTTCTCGTTCCTTGGAGATAAGCAAATGTCTTGCCAAATCATCCAAGGTCCCCTGCCCACCAAGGGCCTTTTCCCTCTTTGAATTACCTGTATGGGAGGTACCAGGGAGGGTTCAGCGAGTGGGATGAGAAGAGTTGCTGATTGTAGCCGCCTCACTCTCCCTTTCTGTTTCAGCTGACCACGCCGTGACTTGGAGGGGTTTGCGCTGTGCAGAGCACGAGGAAAGAGGTGAACCGAAAGAAGAAACAAATGGATTCAGGGGAGGAGATTGGGGGAAAGGGGAGATGAGGAGGAGGACAACGACGAGGGTAGCTTGAACCCTGCTCCCCCCCCACCCTCCCCATGGACTATTTCGAACTTCACCAAGGCCTACAATAAACGACTGTGTTTTCCACCCCCACCTTCCCTCCTCCTTGTGCCTCCTCCCCTCCTGGCCACTGTACAAAGCCACAGATCGAATCACAGTAAATTATTATTTGATGGTCTCGACAAATGGTCTCAATGGCTCTGTCCTACCTCAGAGGTTGCTGTCGCTGCTGCTCTTTGGCAGGTGGGGATAGGAGAGAGAAGGAAGATGTGGGTTGTTCCCATGATTGGTTGTGATCCTGCTGGCAAAACCGGCCAGATCTGGAGATGAGGCAGCTGAGCACATAATGCATGCATTAAGGAACTGATCAGCAATTGGTCCTAGAGACCAGCATGTCTTGATTGTTCAGAAAAATCCTTGAATGAGGGTGGGGCCCAGTGACAAACACCATCCCTTGGTCTCCACCAGTCTCCTGTGTCCAACCATTCAGGCAAGATGAGTGGTGCAGGGTCAGTCTGTGGGTTAGATCTGGTGTGTGTGCCCAGTCCAGTGCACAAGGCCATCTTAGCGCATGGGCCCAGCCCTGTGCACTTGTCTGGGCCCTAGCTCCAGCCTCACATGCTGGATCAGGCCTTGCGCCAGCATGCAGGGTCATGACATCTGGTCTGTAGGGTTTGGAAATTTGGCTGTGGGGGAACAGTGGCAGTGTTAATTTCTACCCATTGCCTGCCCCTAAGTTTCCAGCCCCATTGGGGTTGGATGACATAGCTTCACAGGCTGGATCTGGCCCATGGGCTGGAGGTTGAACTTCCCTGTTTTAGAGCTTCTTTCCCACAAGGTCTTGCCTGGTGTTAGTGGTAAGCCAGCAGAGGGGAGGTGGTTGGGATGGTGCCTCTGTGCCCAGAGGGACTGGGTGACTTTCTGGCAGAGTGTGGTGTGGGGCAGAGGCAGGTTGGGATGTACAGGTCTGTAAACCTCAGGTGCTCTGTTTTATATTATGTCCTCCTCTGCTAGACGGAGGTTGTTCATTGCTGTGGGCTTGTCCTTCATGCCGTCTGCTTCACAGACAGGAAGTTGCCTTTGTCTCCACCAACATTGCTTTGAAACTTCTTCAGCCATTTCCTCCTTTCCCAGGATGTAAGAAGAATCCAGCAACAGTCTGTGTAAGGAGCTGTGTTTTAGTCTGGGGGAAATGCTCTGTAAGCCTGGGTCTGTCCTCAGCCCTCTCTGCTTTTGGGAAATACAGCACAGCACATATCAATGGCTCACAAGGCCTGTGTACAAATGACTGGTCAGTATGTGGTGTCTGGGGAGCTGGAGTTACCTTTGATTGGAGCCCTGACTTTTTTGCATTGACCCAAGCCAGCGCCAAGATGTATGGTTTGTCACTTTTCTGCTGCATTTTGATTTATCCTCATGGGACATTTCCAAGTGCTCTTCAGAGGCTTTGGTAAGTGGTGGGGAGGCTTGCTGGGAGGGCAGTTCTTTGCAGAGTCAGGTTATGAACTCGGCTGCATCTCGCAGCTCTGGATGCTGCTGTTGCCTGGGGTGGGACCAATGGCATCAGTGTGACTGTTCTGAAACGCAGGTAGTTCTGGAGGCAGGACCGAGACCCCTTGCTGTAGGATCAGGTCCCTGTGCTGGAGCAGCGTCTGTGTTGGTGGATGTATAGTCCTTGCTAGCACCTCCTCCCCCTCTTTTACAGCAGCTGACTAAGTGTGACTCCAGTCTGCACACACAGCAAGGGTTTCTGTGCTTTACAGTAGTAGCATCTATAGCAGGTGTGTAAATCTGTGACTGGTCTCTTCTGCAGCCAACTGAAAGCAAAAGGAATCTGTTGGCAGTGGTAAAGTACATAGTAAGACTCCACTCCTATCTTATGCTCAGTAACTGCTGGTGATGAGTGAGGGGCTGTGGCTCATATGGTAGTGAAAGGGCTTTGAAGCTGCTCTGCTATTGGAAAACTCCAGGCCGGGTGTTGAAAGGTTTTTAACTTTACAAAGGTGCTGTTTATGCAGCAGTTCTCCTTGATCTCCCATCCTCCTGGCACATCTACCCCACAGAGTGGCACATACAGCCACATGTGCTGCTCTGTGGGATGTCATGAATATGGTCATGTTTGTCGTGCTTGGCAGGACTTGTATGTGCTTGTGGGTCCTGCCCCCCCACCCAAGCTCCTTCTAGGCTGTCTAGGAGGTGGTTCCTCCTATGTTCATCCACTTCTAGAGCCCAAATGGGCAGGTGCCAACTATAAATTGTGTACTTCCCTCTCTTTGTCAACAGGGAATGGAAAAGGTAACTGAGCATCAGCGAGAGCACCTCTGATGGTCAGGGCAGGCCTCACTGCTTGTGGTGACTGTTGCTGTGCACATTCGTGGCTGCCTCTGCCCTTGTGCCGGATTTGTGAGGTTCTCTTGGCAGCCGTTCACTTGACAGATTTAAGCTCATTTTATTTAACAAACTGAGATATGAGAGAGCCAAGGCAGCTTCTAGCACAGGGCAAACAAGGGGCTGGGCTTGTCGTCTTGGGGCAGCTAGTGCCGAGTAGGCCAGAGTGTGAGTTCAAAGTACAGTGGTTCTTCTGCACTGATTCCCTGCGTGGATATGCCATGGAGCTGCCTATGCTGCAGTTGGTGTTGTGAAGGCAGCACATAGAGACATGGTTATTGAGCGCAGTGAAGTCTCTGCAGCATGGGTTTCAATGCAGGCTGTTCGGGGCTATGCTTGTTAGCTGCTAGCACTGCTGCCCTGTGTGCCTACATTAACCAGCTGAAAGCCATCTCTGCAGGTTCTGCAAGTAGACCAAGAGTGTAGGGTAGCTGTGACAGTGTCCCGTGCTAAGGGCCACTTGAACTCAGTCTGCTTCTCAAGTGGACTCAAACAGCCATTTTTGTGTAGGGCACAGTGCCTGCATGGTATGCTAGCGCCAGATCTTGGTTGCAGAGTAGGTGTTTTCCATGTGTGCACAACCCCAGCCCTGGAGGACATACACTCTGAAGAGACTAGACAGACAGCAGTGGAGTGAATTATGCAGCAGGTCAGTGACAAGGCTGGCAACAAAACCCAAGTTTCTGTCCTATCTGCAGCGATCAGACCCTAGGATTGATTTTGTTGGACAGTCTCACAGTGAGCTGCACTGTCCATACAACAGGTTGAGTTGCCCTGGATATGGGACCTCGTTGCTGGGTCAGCTAGGTCTCTGTGCCAGTGCATAACCAGGAGCCAGGTTGAACCAGCTGCAGCCGGAGTTAGGTGCTCTATGACTTCAGCATGGTGGGTGATCCAGGGTCCCACACACACCTTCGCCCTCCAAGTAGCCACAGCATAAGGAGCAAAGCTGGTTGTGCACCTGGGTACCACTGCTGCTTGCTGGAGCCTTGTTGCAGGGGAAATACAAAGGCTTTGTGTGACTGACAAAAAGCCACTTGAAAAGCATCTGATATGTGCTGCAGGAAGCGGCTCTCCCAGGGCAGCAGTCTCACTGAGCAACGTGCGGCTGCCAGCGCTGTGACAGCTGGTGCAATGACAGTCCCTTTGCCAGGGGGCTGATGGTGTGAAAGCTGTAGGAGGAGAGGGTCATTGCTGCCCTTTTCCGTGGCCTTGACAAACAAGGGATGCAGTTCACTGTGCCCTCTCCCAAGTGGGTGTGAGATCTTATCTGGCAGCCCCACTCTGTCCCCATCTGTGGGCTGACTTGGGAAGGGTGAGGTTAGTTTTAATCCTGCCCACACCTGCCAGCCTCTGCTAGTAACCTGTCTGGCCATGAGGACAAGTACTCAAGGAGGAGATGCCCTCTTGGGTCTAGGCATCAGCAGGAGGCTGCTGGCATGAACTCTGCTGCTCTCACCTTTTTGCTTGGTGCTGTTGGGTGTCTGGTTGTATGCTGCAGAGCCCGCCCAAGCTGCCTGCAGCTGCTCACACCACCTGTCCCTCTGAGGACTTTTCACATGTTAACAACCCAAATATAAACAGATGAGTGAGAGTCATGCAGCACCAGCTCAGAGCTCAGACAGCAGCAGCACTCACAGATGGGGGACAAGGAAGGGGGAGCTAGAAGCAGCAGGCACTAACTTGAACCTTATTGTCAGAAAAGCAGAGAGGACCAAGACCATCAGCCCTGTTCAGCCCACTGCAGGGGAGACCCTTGACAGATCCAGCATATGCACACGTGCACGCGATACACAGACATAAAGAGGGGTTTTGCAGCTGGAGTGCGAGCCTGGACAGGTGTGGTTTTGTTTCAGGTTCTGTTACAGGCTCTAAGACTTCAGGGAAGCAGTTTATTGTCTCTGCCCCTTGGCTTCTCCTGCTGGGCTGATACAAGGCCTAGCCCACTGAGCTAGGACACGCATGGTTGGAAAGCCCCTGAGAAAAAGAAGCTGGTCATGTACTGGAAACTCCGAAGCAGTGCAGTGCAGCTCAGCGCTCAAATTGCAGCCTCCAGCCACCCAGGGGCATTGGCAGCAGTTGCTCATGACTGGAGCTGCAAATGTAGGGAGGTGAAATGTGTACACAGTAGCATGGGCGACTGCTGCCTCCCAAATCTGGGGGGGCACCAGATCACCAACGGGGGGGTGGGGTCCCCCAGTGGCTGATCACCAAGCCAGCGGCAAAACCAGAAGTGCACTTCCAGTTCTGCAGATGGTGCTTCCAGGGGGTGCACGGCTGATCTCAGGGTGCAGTGCACCCGTGAGCACCCCCTATGCATCACCAGTGCACAGTAGGAATATTCTTTGGGCTCCCATCCCCATCCTCCCTACCTGGCAGCCAACTGCACATACCACTTGGCTGGAAAGAAAAGGATGCAGATGCTTTGCAGTTCTGCTGCTGCTGCTGCTAGATCCTGTCATGGACCCTCCCCTGCCAGCCAGCAGGGTCAGTCTCATGACCAGAGGGATGGGTGGAATGAGCCCAGTCTTGGTGGCTGTGCTTGCCCCAACCTGTCCCCCTGTGCCACTGCACGCCTCTTCAGGGAAGGGCTCCTGCCCTGGGCCCAAGCACTCCCAGCCATCGCTTATCTCTGAAAAAGTCAGAGAGGAAGGGTTGTCTTGCTGGTGGATGCTTCCTTTCTGCTTCCCTTTGTTTTTTAGCAGGTCAGAGGAAGGATTGTCTTGTTGGCAAGGTAGCTGGACTAGGCCTTAGGGAAATGGATACCAATCTCTGCTGGCTCAGAG